AGCACACAGTACTGTATTACTGTTCATGTTCATTATGTGGGTACAGTGCCTAATGACGTGAGAAATAAGGAGACAGTGACCTCTATTGGTACGAGTGAAGAACTGCATGACTTATTCAGGATAAGAAAATATGCTCACTGTAAAACAAAGCCAAAAAAATAAAAACATAAATCCCAGGTGATGTATTGTTGGCAAAGAAATGCAAGTTCACCTATTTTCTTAATTTTGTAACTGACATTTCTTCCTCTAAAGAGCTGCAGGAAGGTTCTTGTCACACCTAAACCCATAAGACTACTCTTTAAAGTTAAGCTAAAGGCACAGGGGAATAACATGCACAGAAATGTGAGCTCTGCCCTGATGTTGTGTTTAACTTGTCACCGACAGCTGCCCAAAGGGTCACACCTGGTGAGATAGTTCAGAGTTGCCTTTTGAAAAATGGACAGGCCAGTTAAGCCCTGAGCCTGTTTTCCAGGTCTCAGGCTCGAAAATGACATTCCCAGAACAAATGACCATAACTACACTTCTAAAAGGGTTAAATTAATAATCTTTTTTCTCAAAGCAATGATAAACCTGTGAGTTGGATGTAGAAGAGTCAGAATCAATATAGATTTTTTTATTTTAAAGTAAATTCAGATTGAACATAATAAAAAAATGTAAATTATTGTGTCCGTCCAAAAAAGAAACCTTACTTATAGTGAAAACTACCCTTGAATGATGGTAAGGTAGACTAAAAGCTTTAGGAATCCAAACTATAACATATAATAAGTACCCTGTATCAAGATTGATGCAAAACAAGTGAAATTTTACCTTTTTAGAGAGGTTTAGCAAAGAAAAACCCACTTCTGGGGTCATTTGGGTGGATTTGACCTATCTCTGGCCCCCCTTGGTCGATTTTGATGATTGACATCTATTTTTAACCGCTAGAGCCAATGGAATCGAGGGAAAGTTCCACATAGAGAGGCGAAGTCCCGCCCATCTACTTCTGACCCATGGGACCTTATTTCGGAAAAATTATGTATTGAAGTCAATGGAGAGAGAAAGATTATCTTTCGATCCCGTTTGAATTGTGCCACGAATTACACATATGATGTTTGTCAATCTTAAAAAATCATTTCCATGTCAAAAAAGTCACGGTTTGTCGTAAAACTGTTGAAATATAAGACTATGAAAAATACGCAACTAGAAAGACTACAAATCCCAGAATCCCGGTCCTGCATGCTGGCTCTTACGGAACCGACTAACTCCCCTTTTGTGTATGTACAGCTCTCAACATGCCCAGACTTGGAGTGATTTTCACCTCTTTTAATACTTTTCGCCTCATTCTGAAAGAAAGGTTAGAACTGACTCTTGATCGCCCTCTCTCTCTTCTCTTGAACGGCATATGATGACACCCCATAATTGACGTAGAGCTGTTGAGTGCACGACCATTAACCATTATCTGAAGTCTGCTGCTCTGAGCATGTCAGTTGGAGCGATGACATCATCGTGTTCCATTGCACAGGTGTTTATAGTTGAGCTAACGAGCTGTTGAAGTCTGAAGAATGTCTCCATTGACTTCAATGGTTAAAAATGTGATGTATTATGGGATGTATCTCTGGAATTATGAAAGTCATGAATGATAAAAGTAATAGCCTGCGATTCCCGACCGAGCTGAACGTTTTGATGTTTGAACGGAGTTTCTGCGATGTTGAATGTGGGAGAAGAGGGCCAAAATAAGTCGGCGGAATAATAAACTTTTTGTCCATAGCATAACATAGAGTTGGAATGCTGTATCAGCATTCCCACTAAATAAGTTACATTCATTTGTTATTGGCTATGGGTTATTGGTTATGTTCACATACTTATTTGATTATTAAAATATAAACCGATCTTTTTCATATGGGTGTTTGCTGGATCACCAGCTCTTCAGTCCTGACTTGCAGCAGAACTGTTCCTTCAGTTTCTTTGATGTATAACACAAAACAAATGTCTTTAGTATGGTCAACAGTGTTTCTGTTGGTGTTGAAGGAGTAGGTAATAAGACTGTAGCAAATAAAGTGTTACACTCTACCTAGGCACCGTGTTAGTAGACAGAGTAGGTTAGGTCTATTGTATGCATAGGCTACCCTAATGTTACAATAAGGACATGTTACTCAGGTCAAAGGAGCCTGAAAGTATGCCTAATGAATAGGCCTACTCAAATAAACATCATTAAGTTATATTTTTAAAAGGGGAGTGCTGTGATGATGTATGCTACTCTTAAAGAACACCTTCAGGCTACAAAATAAGGAATAAGCCTATCAATGTGCCCTATACGCTATCCTAGTGTAACAACATCAGCAACATCCAAACACACAATAATCTCCATTTATGAACTTCTCATCTGCTGCTCATTATTAATTATACATACACATCATACTTTCATTTGACCGAAAAGAGAAAAAACTAAGACAAAACAAAACTGATAATAAATACAACTATAGACCCACACTAAGGCGGGTACAAAGAACAATACTGGGACACATAAGGTAGATAACTTGACAGTAGAATTAACATCACCAAAGCACCAACCCAGAGACCTGCATTCCACACAAGCTGCAGTCAGCGCTCACTCAGCAGAGTTCGTCCCGGATGGTTCAGTGAGTGTGTTGTTGTACTCATCTGTCTGAGAGGCAGTCTGCCATTCTTTAACACATAGCCTTCCTCAATCTTTCTCAAAGCAGAGGCCCAAGATGACCAGTCCACTGAGCCTCTCACTTCTCACCGGTCACTCTGTGAGGGCAGGAATCTCTTCTTTGTACATTTTTCCAATGTTATTACATGTTTCACAGCAGTTTGAACCTGGTGGTGGTGGTGGTGTGTGTGTGTGTGTGTGTGTGTGTGTGTGTGTGTGTGTGTCCAGGTGGCAGGATGACCAGCGCAGTGTTTAACCCGGCGCTGGCCTTCTCCACACAGTTCCCCTGCAGTGGGAACTCCTGGTGTACTGGCTCAGCCCCCTGCTGGGTAAGAGCCCCGAACACACACACACACATCAGGGACATCGACATAGTCTTAGTCTCCTCAACAAAAAGGCCTTCATCGTTAAACACCAAAAACAGAAGAAGAAGACTAACATACTTTGTTCATCCCTCTTGTGTAAACAACATTTTCAATCTGTTCTACAAAATACACAAATGCACATTCAGAACCAAGCATTAGTGGAGAGTGTCAGTGGGGGGGGGCACCTAGAGCAGTTTGGGGTTTGGTTGGTGGCTCGACTACACCTCAGCAGCGCCAGGAGTCCAACTGGTACCTTTCAGTATACCAGAGTCCACTCTCTGTACATGACTTTGTCTTTATGAATGCCAATAGAAGGTTAAGAAAATGTTCACATAGAAAACTCTGAGAGTTACAATTGTTTGCGTTAATAAAACTACAATCCTGCGTCCCACTCGGATAGACAGTGGGACGCAGCTGTTTGACACATCTGATTGGCTGACAAATGCTAAATTCTCATGACTCATTTGTTTCATGCACACAGTTTGAAACTCACTCTATGAGGGCAGCTGGACGTTAATCAAAACACATAAAATATCTACTGAAATGTTTGTTTTATTATCAATAAAATTGCATAAATACATAGATAAAACTAGATCCATGCTGTCTGTGGAATGTTACCTGAGTGTATAGCATGTTCACATTTAAAATCTACAATTATGCATTTTTTAAAGACCTATTTCATTGAGCAGTTTAGTTCACATACAGTTAACCAGATGTGAAACAAGTCCTGAAATCTCTCACTTACAGTAAATAATACTTTTTTAAAGGTATCAACATACACTTAAATGACCAAAAATAAAAGTACTCATTACTCAAAATGGCCCATTTCAGAATCAAATATATTATATTACGGGGTTATAATTATAGATCATGTGTTAAGTTGAGGTGGAGCTCATTTTACCTGATTTATATAGTGCTTGGTAGCTCAACCTGAAAATACATAATCAGATATCAGTTGATTTTAGGGCTGTACCTGAATATCCGAATATTCGGTCGTTGGCCTACTATTCGGTTTTCAATTTCGTTATTCGGATATTCGTTTAAAAAAAAAAAGGAAACGTATAGACTTAGGCCGCATTCACACCAGCCTTGTATAGTCCGGTTGAATCGAACCCTGGTGCGTTTACCCGCTTGGTGCGGTTTGTTTGGGTCGGTGTGAACACAGTCCGAGACCTCTGAAGTGAATTAACAACCGGACTCTGGTCCGCTTAAAAGAGGTGGTCTCGGACCGCTTGCTAGTGAACTCTGGAGCGGTTCATCTCTGGTGTGAACGCAGTCCGCACCAAAACATAGGAAGCGTAGTATTTACGAGTCACAAGAACGCGGATGTCTTCAAAATCTTTAGCGAAAGAGAGAAGCAGAATGAAGTGTTGAATAGTGTCGTGTAAAGTAAAAATGCTCCGTCAACTATACATAAAAGTCAGAGCCACCTGTCGTCTGTGAAACCTCCTCCTTACTGCAGAACGTCTCTCATATGGGTTATGTTTTTTATCTCACGTTGTCTGATTGTATAATCATATGCGCCGTTGCTAGAGTCTGTTGATATGCTGTCCAGATTAACAGCAGCATGAAAATAACCTGCCAGTGCTCCATGGTGGAGGCTACGGTAGAAATAATGTCTGACCAATTGTTGAACAGCATTTCCGTGCACATGACTTGTGTTTAAAGTTTATAGTCCGTTTGAATTTTGCCTGTGTGAACGCAAACTGAACCTTCTGAAAAATGAAGGTCCCCCCCGCGCGCACCGAATATCCGAATATTCGCTGCTGATTACTACCGAATATCCGGAGCCCGGAAAATGGTATTCGGGACAGCCCTAGTTGATTTATATGTTGTATAATGTAAATCTGCAAAGTAACACAAGCTGTGAAATGAGTAAGTAAAAGTACAATGTTTGCTTCTAAGATGTGGTGGAGTAAAGTATAAATGTCAATAATGGAAATACTCAAATAAACTAGAAAATGCATTTACTGTCTGTGGTATCTTACCTTGTGTTATTATTACATGTTATTGCATTTGTCCAGCAGGGGGCAAACTCACTCTTGGTATTAAAAGAGCCTGTTGTACATGTTCCCACGAGGAAGTCCCGGAAGCATGTTACCAAAGTAAACCCAGTTAAATCTACTCTTATGTTGTGGACATACAATTATTGATCACAAGATACAACATATTATTGGCGACGAGGATTAAGAAGAGGATTAAGACAAGGATCAATACGGGATCAAAGAGGACATGCCGAACGGACTGGTTAGCACCTTACATGCAGGTTTGGGTCGTTAGCGGCAGCTAGCTCAAATTATTAGCATAGTCTGCGGGTGGAGGAGAGGATTCATTGACACACAATGGCAATGATTGGCACGCTGGCACCTTTTGATGCAAAAAATCAGAAGTGGGAAGAATACTGTGAAGTATTGGAACAGTTTTTTGAGGCTAATGAAATTGAAAATGGAGACAGACAAAGAGCCATATTAATAAGTGTTGTGGGATCATCAACATACAGCCTTATGAAAAACCTCCTCAGTCCGGATAAGCCCAAGGATAAGACTTACACACAACTTGTGGAGCTGCTAAAAAATCACTTTGACCCAAAGCCTAGTGAAATTGTGCAAAGGTACAAGTTTGACTCCCGCAACCGTGAGCCAAATGAGTCAGTAATGGAATACGTGGCTGAGCTGCGTCGGTTAGCGCAGGATTGCAACTATGGTAACACTTTGCAGCAGAGGTTGAGAGACAGGATCGTCTGTGGAATAAATGAAGATCGGATTCAGAGACGACTCTTATCAGAAGCGGATTTAACATTTGAAAAAGCATTGTCAATTGCTGTGGCGTCAGAGACTGCAAATAAAAATGCACAGGAGATACAAAGCCAAGGGGCCACAGCTAAATGCTTCAAAATGGATAAAAAGCCACAGGAGGCTTATGCACACAGAGAACCTACCAAAGAGTGTTACAGATGCAAGGGAACCAAGCATGAAGCAGCAGACTGTAGGTTTAAACAAGAGAAATGTCATGCATGTGGTAAAATAGGACACATTGCCAGAGCTTGTCGTAGTAGATCTACACAGAAGGGAAACAGCAACAAAAATGCAGACCCAAAGAGAGAAAGGAGGCAAACCACATATCACCGTTCTCATAAAGTACAAGAGCAACGGAGCCAAAGTGATAGCTCAGAAGAAGATACATTCTAACTGAATAAGATGAGGTTCAGATTGGGACGCATGAGTGAAGTGCACCTGAGACGAGTAGACCCATACATGGTTGAAGTGAAGCTGGATAGTAAGTTTGTTAACTTTGAGATAGACACTGGCTGTAGTCTCACAATAATGAATGAACAGACATTTCAAAGACTATGGAAAGACACAAAAAGTCCATGTTTGAGACCAACCAAAATCCACATCGAGTCTTATACAGGTGACCCTGTTAATGTGGTCGGAGCTGCCCTTGTTAAAGTGAAATACAAACGTCAAAGTCGGTACTTGCCCCTCATTGTGGTTAAAGGGGACGGCCCCAGCCTGCTGGGAAGAGGCTGGCTGGAGGAAATACATCTGAGTTGGAAAGAAATCAAGCTCAGACACAAATCCCGAGTCCTGAAACACCTGAAGACAGAGGACAAATCGCTGCAGCAAGTACTGAGCAAACATGAAAATGTCTTCAAAGAGGAGCTTGGCACACTGAAAGGTATGAAAGCTACCATCCATGTAAAGGCTGATGCAGTCCCTCGGTTCTTCCGTCCGAGGTCTGTCCCGTACGCCATGCGCACCAAAGTAGATGAAGAAATAGACAGATTGTTGAAAGAAGGAGTAATCTCACCTGTTAAACATGCAGAATGGGCAGCACCAGTGGTTCCAATACTGAAGCCTGTTGGGACAGTAAGGCTATGTGGAGACTACAAGCTCACTGTAAATACAGTTTCCTCACTTGAACAATACCCCATACCCCGAATGGAAGACCTGTTTGCAGCACTGACAGGAGGAAAACAGTTCACAAAGTTGGACATGAGTCATGCATACCAGCAAATACTCATGGATGATGAATCAAAGAAATACTTAACAGTGAATACGCACAGAGGCTTATTCACATACAACAGACTGCCTTTTGGAGTAGCATCAGCCCCAGCTATATTTCAGAGGACAATGGAAGGTCTCCTGCGAGGCATTCCTTTTGTGGCAGTGTATTTAGATGACATCCTGGTGAGCGGTGTGGATGAGGAAGACCATCTGCAGAACCTCGAGACAGTGTTGGCAAAGCTGGATGAGGCAGGATTGCGTCTGAGAAGGAGCAAGTGCACTTTCCTGGAAGAGGAAGTGGAATATCTGGGACATCGAGTGGACGCACAGGGACTTCACCCTGTGGAAAAGAAAGTCAAAGCCATCATGGAGGCTCCCAACCCCACAAATGTTACTGAACTCAAGTCGTACTTAGGTTTGCTAAATTACTATAACAAATTTCTGCCAAACTTAGCTACACTATTGGCACCACTGCATGAGCTCCTGCGACAAGATGTGCGATGGACATGGCAAAAGAAACAGGAAGAGGCTTTTAAAAAATCAAAGGCCCTGTTAAACTCAGCAGAAGTGTTGGTGCATTACTCTGCTGACCGAGAGTTAATTATGTCATGTGATGCGTCACCTTACGGGGTGGGCGCTGTTTTATCACACGTAATGGACGATGGAACTGAACGTCCTTTGGGGTTCATGTCGCGTACTCTAGCGCCTGCTGAAAAGAATTACTCACAGCTAGACAAAGAAGGCTTAGCAGTTATATTTGGAATCAAGAAATTCCACAAGTACTTGTATGGTCGAACTTTCACCATCTATACAGATCACAAGCCACTGATCTCTCTCTTCAACGAAAAGAAACCCATTCCACAGATGGGTTCCCCGAGAGTTCAGAGATGGGCAGTGCACCTGAGTGCCTATGAGTATCACATTGTGTACAAACCAGGAAAGAACAACGCTAATGCGGACGCATTAAGCAGACTGCCGCTGTCGGAAGATGTGCGAGAGAGTGAGACCGCAGAACAAGTGCTCATGATTGATCTTCTGGATGACACACTCGTGGACACAGCCAAAATAAAACACTGGACAGCTAAGGATGTAATATTGTCTCAAGTTCATGGTTATGTCCTGTCGGGATGGCCTTCAGTGACTGAGACTCCTCTCAAGCCGTATCATCAGAGGAGAGAAGAACTGAGTGTGAGGGATGGCTGCGTGCTCTGGGGAGCCAGAGTCATCGTACCAAACAAAGGCAGGGAAAAGATATTGAAAGTACTGCACCAAACACATTCCGGCATGTCAAAGATGAAAGGTCTGGCTAGATCTTATGTATGGTGGCCGGGGATGGACCAGGATGTAGAAAAGGAAGTGCAGTCTTGTGAGGAGTGCCAAAAGCACCACAAGTCACCACCATCAGCACCATTGCATCCCTGGGAGTGGCCGGAGTCTCCCTGGACGAGAATTCATGTGGACTATGCAGGCCCTTTCCTGGGAGAGATGTTTCTACTGATAGTGGATGCTCACTCAAAATGGATGGATATTTATCCAGTGAAGTCAGCTACATCACAGGTGACCATTGAAAAGCTGCGTCAGAGTTTCAGTGTTTTTGGACTGCCAAAAATGTTGGTGTCAGACAACGGAACCTGTTTTACAAGTGCTGAATTTGAGACTTTCATGAAACAAAATGGCATCCGCCATGTGAGGTCAGCACCGTTTCACCCGTCTTCTAATGGGCTGGCAGAGAGGGCGGTCCAGACCTTCAAAGGGGGGATGAAAAAGATGAAAGGTGAAACATTGCAAACTAGACTGTCAAGGTTTCTGTTCAGTTACTGCATCACACCTCACGCGACCACAGGCCTGTCGCCTGCAGAGTTGATGATGTCAAGGAGACTCAGATCTGCATTAGACCTGCTCCTGCCAGATGTGAAAACAAGAGTGCAGCAAAAACAACTAAAACAGAAACAGTCCCATGACACAAACAGGAAACTGAGAAGTTTCTCACCTGGGGATAAAGTGTTCATCAGAAACTACTCTTATGGACCTAAATGGATCGCTGCGGTCATCGAGAGCTCATCAGGTCCAGTGTCATATACAGTGATCATTGGAAGTGGTCAAGTCGTGAAGCGGCATGTGGATCAAGTAAGAGCCAGATTAACAGACACCGTGCCCTTAGAGCCGGTGCTGGACTCCAACAGAGACACTGTGGTTCCAGTGACAATCGAGCAAGAAGGACCTCCTGCAAGTGAGCCAGTGGTTCTGTGTACTCCGGTCCCGCCGGACTTGCCTGCTACACCCGTGGTGAGACGATCAGAGCGCGAGAGACAGCCACCTGTATACCTGAAAGACTTTGTTAAATAGATCAAGAGATGTTCCATTAATAGAGCAGCATAGTTCTCTGATCTCACTTTAAGGAAAGGTTTAGAATGTTAATCTTTGAAAGTGAAATGGTTCATGCCAGTACCTCGAAATGTTGTGTAACGGGAGTATGTTATACCCCCACCTTCGGGAAGTATTGTTAGCTTAAAGGGGGGGAAATGTGGTATCTTACCTTGTGTTATTATTACATGTTATTGCATTTGTCCAGCAGGGGGCAAACTCACTCTTGGTATTAAAAGAGCCTGTTGTACATGTTCCCACGAGGAAGTCCCGGAAGCATGTTACCAAAGTAAAACCAGTTAAATCTACTCTTATGTTGTGGACATACAATTATTGATCACAAGATACAACACTGTCTATGAGTATTTTGTGTGTGAATGCAGACATTCTCCTGCTATGAGATACATGTAAGGCCATCTGCTGACATTGGAGTTGATATATGGAAACGCTAGCAACTTAGTTAGCCCAGTTAGCACTGTGTCAATGGCTTAGCAGCCCGAAAAACATTTACCCATTTAAACAGTCGTGGTAGATACCTTGTTTGTTTTAAACATCATAAATACACAAACAACAATGAATACTTACAGGTTGTGTACCCGAATCTCCCGCTGGTCCAAACAAAGTAGGAACAGCATCGTTCTTCAGTGCCCTACGCTGTGCATATCCGGCCTGAATCGCTGAAAGGTTTGTGAAGCATCGGTCCGTGAAATGCCGCGCACACAGTAAAATACCGGCTCGAACATCTGAAGGAACAGTGTTAAAAATACATTTCAACCAATGACTTCGTCGTGGTTCTGCCCTCGGTAAGGCATGCATTGAAGATTTCCCCTCACAAGACAGGAAACAGACCCTCGTTGGCATGACTGGATACAGTTTTGAACTGAACCTGAGCTTCCAACATTATATATGTTCTGCTGGCAGAGGGTGTGGCCTCTGGGTATTGACACGTCAGAGAACCCAGGAAGAAAACAATGGAAAATTAGAGTTTTACTCGCTACAGGGTGTACTTTGAGGGTTTTTGACTCTGCACACCGTTTACATGCATAAAAACCTTCAAAACACACAAGGGGACGGGTAATAACCGGAAAAGCATGACATGGGCCCTTTAACCTGTTAAGCCCGAGAGACCCCGGTACCGGGGTACTGCCGCAACATCTTGCAGGAAACAGTGTCTGAGGGCATGTTCATTTAATAAAACTATGAATGTTTTATATCCATGTAACGGGAAGAAACTCATCTAACTGATCATTTTAATTTTTTTTTCAAAAGAAAACCCACAATGCTAACACTGAGCCTCTGAATTAGCAACGAGCGAAAACCTTATTATTTATCTTTTCACCACATCCAACACATCGATTCACATCGTGAGGTGACACAGAATCGTTTGACACCGACATTACCACTGAATTATACGTATTTGCGATGTTATAAGCAAAAACGGACATCAAAACAGGTGACGCTAGGTAGCTAAAAATGCTAACATTTTTACCTTGGCTCTGTAGTCTCTCCAAAGTGGTCTTCAATGGCATTAAAACGATAAAAACGCTGCTGAAGTTAATCCATAGGTTAATCTAATGTGTCCCTTTGAAATGATTTCTGATGATCCATAAGCATTAAAACTGCTTTTCCGTTTCCAGATGTCAAAGCTAGAGATAGGTCCACTCTGATGCAAAACTGCATCCGCGAAGCCCCCACCTTTTCTCTTCACAATGAGTGTGTGTGGGGGACTCCCCCTTCAATTCTATTGGCTCTAACGGTCAGAAAGAGGTGTCAACCATCAAAATCGAGCAAGGGGGGCCAGAGATATGGAAAATCCACCCAAATGAC